AACAGTATGCTTGGTTATGTACTGCCTTCTAAATATATCTCTGTTCTTCTAAGTTTATTCTTCTGCTCATTAAATCTACATCAGCAGTTTCTTCAACATGATTGTAACATTGTTATGGTTATATTACTCTAAACAACACTCTTGCATAGGTATATCAGAACATCCAGTTCCAAAATTGGCTAGTATATAACCAAAACATTCCAGCTGATAACATACTTTATTTTTTCTTCACAGTTAATATACTGGGTTCACTGTGTACAATAGATTAAATGTGTCTACTTTCAGTATCAGTGTAACTCTAATATTCCTACTCATACAAAGCCAACTCTTTAAGGTCAAGTCTAAAATAAGCACTGCCTGTATCCCTGCAAAACCACAAAATTCATCTTATTAATACTATTTCAGGAGGGCTGGATATTTACCTATCTCCCTAATATGGCATTGGGGGCACTCCTTAGCACTGATAAGAACAGATGGCACCTATGATTAAAGCGTTAAATTAGGAGCTTGGAAATACAGGTTTTACAGGCTTCCCATATTACCTTTGCAAATCACTTCTCATTTCACTCATTTGAACAGATATGGTACAACACCCTCAGTTAAAGAGTTTAGGACCTCAACAACATGTTACTCAGTTTTCTTAAATCAACAATGGTTCTTAACATTTCTAAAATGCCTCTTGAAAATGATGTGGGGCTAAGCTCATTAAAAGAGGATTACTAGAAAGGAAAAATGGGAGTGTAGAAAGTGATATTACATTGATAGTACAGGACTCATCACTGTTTCTTGTCTAGGCTTCAGAAGAGAGTAAAACTCTGCCAGGCTCACACTTGCTGAAAGCAGCAAGTATTTTATGTTGGGAAAGTACCCAAAGGCCCTAGCCTTTGAGATCAAAGCCTAAATGGATCTAGACATTACAAGCACGTAATAAGAGACAATTCCCACTTTGTTTATAATTAAACAAAATAAACAGACTCAAGAAGAGTAGGGAAAGGAACATAACTATCTCGCCCAAAGCCAAACAGTAGATTCAAATGTAGAGTTGGCAGGAGGATTCAGACCTTGACAAAATAACGAAGAGGCAAATATCTTTTGTGGAAAGAGAAAAAAGGTGCCAGTTCTTCATACTTGTGTCTTGTGATTCTCAGAACACATTCTTCAAGAAGTACTAAAATGGGACAAGACAGCCTGGGCTGGAGAAGCAGGAGAAGGCTGCAAACTCTTTGCTAGCTCACATTCCTGGCAAGGACTGGAGACTTCTAGAGTGCTGGCCTTTGCAAATAATCCTTGCAATCAAACCTGACTCGTAGCAACGGGTTTGGATATTTTCCCTTTGAGCCAACTTACAAAAAAATATTGTATCTGCAATAGGTCTGCTCAGTTCATCCACAGAATGTAACGAAGTAAAATAGTATAAGAGAGCTGCAGCAACCTAGCAAAAATTCTCTCTGGAAAAGAACAGCTGTGGGTTAATACTGGCTTTCTGCTCCTGTTTCAAGACCCTCAACCTCTGGAACATACTGAAGATACAAAGAATAAGCTGAGCTCCCCTGGAAGTACTATATGGTTCTTCTGAGGACAAGTATTTTTTCCCTTTTTGTCTCAGGATGCTCAAGCACACTGTAAAAGTCGTAGCAAGTGTGGGAGAGTTGATCTGTGCATGATGGCATCTTCTCTTCTAAAACCAAGTGCCTCTTGCACACTGCCCACCGCAGTAACAGCAATCCCTTCTTCTTTAACAGGCCATAAGAAACTCTTCCTCCCACTCCGCTCTCTTCTGGAAAGCCAGCAACAACACAGCCCTGCACTGTTGTGAAACTGCTAGCTTTAGACTCAATGAACACAAATCACACCATTATCAGAAATAATGACTGAAAATTAGCCAGACAACCGGCCACCACAGTAAGAGACAACTGAACTGTTGGCACATTTTGTAAGACAAAATGAATAAATAAGCTAACAAGACGACCCTTCAACAGACTACATTTCTCTGCAAAACTAGCTGTGTAGTGCTTGGAATAGCAGTTATTAATAACAATATCTTAGAACAGATCACAAACTTCAAGTGGCTTTTAAAAAAAAGGAGAAGGAAATTCTTTCAGCAAGTTGTCTTTAGTAGGAAGGAGATGTAAATTTTCCTCTTGAATCTATCAGAGGTGAACACACATCTGACTATTTCAGAATGGTCATTTCATTAAGTTGTCTGCAGAGAAAGAAATTCTTAAAATGAAAAGGAAGTATTTATAATCTATGATCTTGTTGGCATCATGGAGATGTGGTGGGATAGCTCCTGTGACTGGAGTGAAGGCACATGGAAAATAAAAGGAGTGATCGGTAACAGTCAACAACGCTTCACTAGGGGCCTGACAAATTTGGTGGCCTTCTACAATGGGGTGACAATGTTGGTGGATAAGGGAGGAAGTGACTGACATCATCTACCTGGACTTCTGCAAAGGATTTGACACTGTCCTGGGTGACATCCTTGTCTCTAAGCTGGAGAAGCATGGATTTGACAGGTGGATCAGTTGGTAGATAAAAAAATTGCCTGAGTAGCTGCACTTGAAAGAGTTGTGCTCAACAGCCTGACATCCAAGTATAGAGCAGTGATGAGTGGCATTCCTCAGGGGTCAGTACTGGGACCAGAGCCATTGAACATCTCTGTCAGCAACATGGACAGTGGGACTGAGTGCACCCTCACTGAGCAAATTTGCTGACAACAACAAGCTACGTGGTGGGGTTGACACACTGAGGGGAAGGGAAGCCATCCAGAGGGACCTTGATAGGCTCAAGAGGTGGGCCAGTGCAAACCTCATCACGTTCAACTAGGCCAAGTGCAAGTGGGTCAGGGCAATCCCAAGCACAAATACAGGCTGGGTAGAGAATGGACTGAGAGCAGCCCTGAGGAGAAGGACTTGGGGATATGGACTGATGAGAAATTGGCTCAACATGAGCCAGCAGTGTGCACTCACAGCCCAGGTGGCCAACCACATCCTGAACAGCATCAAAAGGAGCAGGGCAGCAGTTAAATTCTGCCCCTTCTACTCTGCTCTCATGAGACCCCACCTGCAGTCCTGCATTCAGCTCTGGGAGCCCCAAGATAAGAAGGACATGGTGCTGTGGGAGTGAATCCAGAGGTGGGCCCTGAAGATGGTAAGAGGGCAGGAGCATCTCTCCTATGAAGACATGCTGAGAGAGTTGGGCTTGTTCAGCCTGGAGAAGGCTCTGGGAAGACCTTAGAGCAGCCTTCAAATGCTTAAAGGGGGTCTACAAGAAATCTGGAGAGGGACTTTTTACAAGGGCATGTAGTGATAGAGAAATGGTAATAACTTTAAACTGAAAGAGGGAAGATTTAGATTGGATATTAGGAGTAAGTTATTTACTGTGAGAGGGGTGAGACACTAGTACAGAGTGCCCAGAGAAGCTGTGGCTGCCCCCTCTCTGGCAGCATTCAAGGCCAGGCTGCATGAAGCTTTGGGCAACCGGATCTAGTGGAAGGTGTCCCTGCCCATGGCAAGGGGGTTGGAACTAGATGATCCTTAAGGTCCTTTGCAACCCAAAACATTCTATGATGCTATGATAATTTATAGCACATACAAATTGCATTACTGTCATCAAGAGCTTTCCTCTGGCACCAACAGTGCAGTAAAAATCTGTAGTGAGATCCTGCCTAGGAATCCTTACATAGAGTTTCCCTGCCTTATGATCCCTTTCCACAAAGGCAACTAGAGCATCCAAACCATAAGTTCATTCTCCAGAGTCAAATAACTTCCACTATGGTACACTCAAAGAGATTCTAAGTGCAATAAAAGTGGATTCTAATATATAAGTAGACTCACAGCATACATAAAATCCCTATCACTAAAGTAAACTTGGTAGGACCTCTCTCCTGCCTGCCTGGCATAAGTGGCTGATAATGTTTTAAATTCAGGCAGAAGCTGCAGTGACATTCAACAAAAGTAAATTGGGTTTTCGAAATATTTACACTTCCTAGCTCAGCTGAGGCAAAATAATAATATGAAGCTAGTGGAAGTAAGGTGTCATAACCAGTTAATCATTAAATCGGTTTCTACAAATCTTGTCTGACAAATTCTTTTACACTGACATACCCTCACTCACTTCTCCTTAGCTATGAATTAATAAAATTGTCCAGTAATACAGTTTTATTCAGCTGGAAAGCAAATGTGTTTTAATTCATTGACAATCTATTTATCTTCTGTAAATCTGCAGAAACAGTCTGGGATATTGTTTGGCTTTGCAAGATCACATTTAGAAAGGCCACAGGTGACAATGACATTGATATCACCAAGTCTGAACAGGAGGAGGAATCTAGCCCTGCCTCACTGTGCAGTAGTATAAAAGGCTTCAAACCTTCTTGCTGCTTCATAGGAAAAACATTCCCATGTTCCTAATGACAGCTTTCTAGCTCATTCCACATTCTACCTCATTCCATGATGGTTAGCAGAAACACACTCACCTCTCAGCTCAGATCATAGAAGTATTTTTTAATTCTGCATGACTAATTCTATAGAATTATTTTGTTACTCCACTACTTAAGTTGAAATGATTTCCAGTTTCTGTTCTATAATTTGTTCTGATCAGAACTGATGTACTTATTTCTAATAACACTGGGAATTGCTATAGGTGACATACTATCTGTAAGCAAACAAAAAAAAACCCAAAATTAAAAACCAACACACAAGAGTGGTGTATTAGGGGGAGAAAGGTATTTAAGTCAAGGTCACTTACCACTCTCTGACAGGATAAAAGACTCCTTTGACTGTACAAACATAGTCAAAATTTAATAAAAATTATATTCACACGTACTTTCATATCTTCTCTTGCTGAAATAAGTATCACATTCTTTCTTCCGATAAACAATTTTAGCCAGTGTATGCTACACTACCTCACAGGATTTTTCTGCAAATGTTGCAGCTATAGAAACACATTATTTAGAAGAGAGGGAAAGAAAGATTTAAAATATAACAGAGAGAATGACTTACCTTGTTTAGTTCTTTGGAACGAAACACACTGTAAATCACAGATGTGAGCTCTGTAGCAGAAGGAAGAATGAAGTGATCTGCAGAGTTCAGAGTGACTTCAGTGTGATCCCAGCCGCTTCACTTGGCTACTGCCTTCCTCCTAATAAAGCTGCAGAATGATACTCTGTGTTTGTCTTCAGTTGAGGAAGTTGGTTCCTCCGTTTTGAAATACTGGCTTTCTGTATAACCCCAGTATTTCACCAAAATAAGTTCATGAATCATTTTGGTCAGTGTCCAAGCAAGCAACAGATGTGGTGAATGATGAATAGAAAGAGACCTTACAGTTGTAGGCTGCTTTTTGTTATACAGAGATGAGGTTGAACAGAATCCCTTTGTAAGCACTCTGGTTTACAGAACATGATGTTGAATGAGCAGAAAGATTCTTAAAAAGTCACACTGAAAGCATAATTTTATAACTCTACAGTGAGATAAATTCATTCTGTACTCACAATTAGTAGATTAATCTTGTGCCTAAGACAGAAGTGAGCTCCTCAAAACATCACCACTTAGTGCTCTGTCACTGCAACACTGGTCAGAAATTTTAACTGGGTTTTAGAAGACATCATGGCTTGATTCCCAGATCCATAAAGAGCCTGCTGAGTTTTTGTGGCCAGGCCTCATGATCTCAATGTCACTTAGTTTCTCAGTCAGTAAAAGGGGAATATTATTCCACTAGTGTCTACATACGATAGCTTCACCCAACTCTGACGGTACCACACTCATCATACCATTGTAAAGCAGTTGAGCACCTGTCAGTCCACCCTCACTGAAAATCAGATCTTCTAGGAGAAGAAATAACCCAACAGTAGTACTCCTCTGTCATTAATGCAAAATGTGTAAAACGTTCAGCACTAGTCAATTCCAAGTTTTCCAGATATCAACTCTATTGATTCCATTGAAAAATCAGAAAAACAAACAAAATACCAAAACCAAAAAAACAAACACAGAAGAGGGAAGTGCTTAGTGAAAAGCAGCAAAACTGAAACTTCAGCATCTGGTTAGCAAGGCTACCAGTTTTAAGCACCTCTCTTATGGTCCACAGATCCTCTTTACAGGAACCAGAACCTCCTTCCAGCCAAACTACCCTGTGTTGTCTCTCCTCCATTACAGCTTGTTCTGTTCTGCCAGTATAACTTAAAATGCTTACAGCTTGTACATGAGGTGGGAAAGCTACAAATGAAAGGAGGATGAAGATTATGAACCAGTGGGACAGAGTCCCTGGAGCATAAGGAAAGGGCAGCAAGGTAAGATTTCTGTTAATATATGACACAGGAGGGGGGTGCCTTAAGAAAGGGTATAGAAAGATTCAAGGACCTAATGATTTGGCACCTCACTCATTTCTTGTATTTCAAAGATTTTCTGTTTTCTTTAGGTAATCGACTGGTGAGCCTTCACTGATAAAAGCTGTTTTAATAGTAGTTATCATCTTTTGTAAATATTGGGATAAGGTAAATTCAGGCACCATTTAACAGCAGATTTGCTGAGGTTTTTTTGCTTGTAATGGCACAAGTCTGTGTGTCTCTAGGTACTTTGCCAAATCCAGTTATTGCAAGCCAGTTAATTCAAGGGCTTGCTAAGTACTATTTCAGTAGGATAAAAGACAAAATTACTGGGTAGATAACCCTCACCCACGATCTACAGTAAAAGAAAAAAACCTCAGCTAGCAAACTAGAGCTACATATTTGCCAAACATTGTTCACCTCAGTGAAGAGAGCATTCTGGAGAGCGCAATGGATGCTAGCAGTTTTGAGCAGCGAGGAATGGTCCTTAAGGAAATGTTTCCTTCACCATAAACCAAACAGGCTTGGGAATACTTTAACAGGTATTGGGAACGATCATACAGTTCCTTCATCCTTCAGAACCAAGGGAGGATTAAACCTCACACAGCAATTTTCCTCATCCTTTCTAGCAGTGTCCCAAGTAAGAAATCACAACACCTAAGGACCCAGAAGACATTTTGTGGCAATAAGTTTCAACAGAAAAATTTTTTTTTTTTCCCTCAAGAACAGATTAGTGCATTTAAAAGAGCTTTTTCCACCTGTCTGTCCTACCTAAATTTGCTCCTTTTCAATTGAAAAGTACTTTGGCTCTAATAAGCAATTACCCAATTTGCACAGTATAGCCAGCATCTGTAACTGGGAGTAAAGAAAAAAGGTAACAGAATATTGGAGACAAAATTGCACTTAATTTGAAAAGATTTTGTTCTGTTTTCTGTGTACTGCTAAATACAGCTTTTTATTCTTCTACAGTTCTGATTAAACACACTGGGAATCTCGAGTCTCTGAAGAACGTAAACTTGGGCCCTAAAATTTTCCTTGGTTTACTTCCTTCTATGCTCAGACACGGTAGAACTGGAATGGTGAGTCCCAGATTACATGTTTTTTTTTAAAATACACTTTCATGCAACCCATTAACCATTGACATAATTTTACGAGTGTGATCACTTCAGATAATTTTGTGAAAGTTATATGCCTGAAAGAAAATTTATGAAGAAAAAAAAAAGTGGTTTGTTTGCTTTCATGCCTTCTCCTTTTTCTACTTGGAATTTGTATTTATTTTACCATGTTATTTGTGCTTTTTCAACAGGTAAGTTAATGAAATCTTGGAGTTTTTACTCCATGTTAAGTATGGCAATATGCCAGAGCTATACTGAACAGGGACATGCATTCATGAACATACAGTGCATGCAGGACTTGCAAAGCAGAGAAGTACTACTTTATACCTGATGGAAAAACAACAAAGGAGACCATTGTCATACAAGTAACAGACACTGGGTTGCCCAGCAGTGAATAAAGCAGGTAAATTGAAAAGCAAATTTTAAAAGCACTTTCGATTCTTTGTGGTTTTTTTTAACCCTATTAAACAAAGCAAAAGCATAGGATGTATGGAAAAAACTGTCAGAAATACTTTACCAGTATTGACCAAAGCACAAATTAAAAAGCAATAAACAAAACCAAAGTAACTTTAATTTACCTACATTACCAAACAATTGCCTGATAGTTCTAAAAATTATTTCCCACTGCTGAGATCTTATCAAGCTGCCTATTAGTATGTGCAGATAATCTCAGCACTAATGAACGCCCCTGTCTGAATTCAGTGTGCACTAATTCAATGAAGTTACACTAACCATGTATTTGCAAATTAGGTTAGACAAAAGATACTTAGTTTTTTCTCAGGGTTCATTTAAGATGATCAACACAAAAATGAAATTACTTACCTTTAGAGGATTCAGCTGTTCTTACAGTTCTGTTTAAAAAACAAACAAAAATACCCAACCAAACTTCACTGTTCCTCTGTCCACACTGTTTGAATTAACACCTCATCGATTAAAATCGGCTCTGGAAAGACAGAGTTTAACTACCAGACAATCAGGAAAACGGTAATTTCCTCCCTTCCTGTGAAAGTAATGACTATTCATGCCTATCCTTTTGGTAAAGCTGTAATGTTTGCTTGAGGCTTAACTGCACACCACATATTATAGTCAGCAACTGTGACAAAATTCTCTAGCAACACATTTAAAACAAACCACCCCATGAAGGTTTGGCTCATTCCGGCAAGTCCACATCCTCCCTCTATGCTGATATTAGAAATCTGAAGAATTTAATGTATAATGTGTTGAAGAAATTCAGTAATTCTGCAGAAGGCAAAAATCCTTCATGTAATTATTAGTTTAGTCAGGTCAAAACACATAAGCATATAAATCAATTGCTGTATGTGTTTGTATATGTATGTATATACATAAACGTTTGAGCAAGATCTTTGAAACCAGCACTTTCATGTAACTCCTGCGAACAAAGTCAGCAGGGTGTTACATTCTATGCAACTGTGAATGCTGGACAATAACTTACAAGGAAGGGAAAGAAAGATGGTGGCTTGTTTTTTTTTTAATCATGAAGAATGATACCTGGAAAAATACTACCAGAAACAGCCTTTTATTTTTAATTTCCCCTCATAGATTTTGCTTTTATATTTGCATTCTTTTTCATTTTCCACAAATAACTAGGAATGATTTTCTACATTATTTTAGCCTACAGCTATTCAAATTTTGTATTCTTAGGACAATCAAGTAAGAGATTATACCTGCCACTCCAAAGACACTCGAAATCCATGGAATTTTCTGAGGGCGCCTTAACAACAAACCTTCTGGTATGTACTTAAATGCTAAAGATTAGTCATTGAAGAGATAAACAGTCAACTTGAAAACAGTATTTTTCCATTTTAGCCAAAGTGCTGTCTCCTCCCACAGAAAAGAATGCCAGTGTTTGTAAAACTAATCTCAGAGAACTAGAGAGATTACAGAAACAGAAATAAGGCTATGAAAACTAGTTGTTTCACTACGCATTTCATGTTCTTTAGTACTGCTATAGGGATTAACCAACTTGTACTTTTTCACATCCCATAAATTACCAGAAACTACAGTCACTTAGAAACACCTTAGGAGAGAAGCATAGCTGCCTACACCTATTCTTTCAAAGACCTGAGATTTTATTTCTCATTTAAAGTATAAACTCTGGAGATTCAGTCATCCACCTTTTATGTGATAGGTCTTTTGGTTAAAACCCTAAATCCACAGCACAAACAGGATTATACCATGGCATTACGTACAATGGACATGACTCAGTGACCCAAAAAGTATTTAAGTTTCCTGTTCTGCATTCATCTATTAACAATTCACAGCTAAATTGTTGAAGCCTATTGTGATGAGTAACAATGCACAAAAGAAGCAGATACACAGGGAGAAGACATTACAACTTCCAGCCCCTCACTATTCTGTAGCTAGACTATTACTCTGGGCTACTGTGCTCACTCTGACAGAGGTGGTCTTAAACACTAACAAACTTCAGAGAAATTGAAAAGGAGTTCTGATTCCCTGCAAAAGACACAGAGAAAATCAGAGGGTTAATACAAAATTAGGGACAGCTCCCTGAAAATACATGCTAGCAGGCAGGGTACCTATACAGGCCTTGTGTGATCAAGCAAGCTTGCTCCTTTGCAGCACTACTACTCAAAAATCTTAACTAAGAGAAGTATCTATGCACATGCGGAATTGTGGAACCTGCTGGTTACTCTGTTAGACTAACCAGCTATTGACTCCCCTAGGATTTATGAAGATGCAAAGCTTTTAAATTAGGCAGTTGCTCCTTGCAATAGAGAATGGTTCCTGAACATCAGTGCAAAGCTGGTGCAAATCAAATCCAAATCCAAATCAATCAATCAACTACGGAAGCTCTGAGAAGCTGTGGTCAGTGGTTTAAGCACATACTCATTTGTATTTTTAAAGTTGCTCTTTTTAGTCAGCTACATTTCTCAGATATTTTTTTTTTTTCTGTATAGTGGATGAAAACATCCTTACAAAAGGCGCCAGGCGACCTTGACTCCATAGGGATTTAAGTTATTTATCCATAGAAATGGCTGTGAGACAAGGAGAACCAACACGAGTTTCTGCCTACTGCTCTACATTTGCCTGCTCCTCTGATCCCTCTCAGGGGGGAGAACAGTTTTGCTTCTAAACCCTACCCATCCCTCAGCCTCTCTAATGAGATGGGACCTTATAAATCCCAATAGATCTGCTGCTTGTGATACTGGCAAAGCAAATTATTAAAGGCTCTGAAAAACGCTTTGTTAAGGAGTCAGTCTATAAAGGCAATGTTAACTCTTTCATTGCCTTCTAATGAAAGCAAAACTGGGCTCAGGAAAGGAAGCATAGGAAATCAGTCTAAGGAAAGAGTCAGCTAAAACTCCCAGTATTTATTTGCTCATTCTAGTGCTACTCCTTGAACTGTACCAACACACATAAAGGTTTATTTTAAACCCTTCTCACTTGGATTTTTTTTTTTTTTTGTAGAGACTAGAATTGCAGCATTTTCTGTAAAAGCTATTTGAGTAGACACTTGTCTTTTCAAGACAAATAGGCTCCCCTCTTTTAAAGGGAAGAGAAGGGAACATTTCAAAATGAGAAACTAGGCAAAGGGGAATTACACGAACTGTATGTAGCTTGGGTGCAAACCAGAAACTGAATTCTGATCACTTCGATATTAGACCATCCAACAACATAGAAGTTTTACTGATGGACTAGAAAGAGACTAAACTCTGGTCCAAAGAACCACTACAGTTCAAGTAATAGTATATGAAATGCTGAAGAAAAATCAAAAGCTTTTTTGTTCAAAAGTCCTTTTTCCCACTCTCTTCAAAATTTTTTCCATGAAAAGGTCTCTATATTTTCAAAATATAAAAGAAAGTGGGTGGTTTTTGTTTTTTTTTCAAAGGCAGATGTTTTTCCTTATCAGCATTCCTGGCTTAAAATTAAGTCTTGTCCTTGGAAAAAACCCACAGAACTTCTCTTGTTTAACTGTCTGCTTTTTTCCTAAATAGAATAAAGAAATCTTTCTTTAAATTACTCTCAGGATAAAGCAGGCTAGAGAATCTGCTGGCTCTCAGACATAAGAAAATATGCGGTTTATTGTGGGAACATTAAAAAAATGTAACAGGATTTAGAACAGCGAGTGCAGAGGAAAATAACGCATACTTAACTACCTTGGGAATACATTCTAACCCCACCTTAAACTGACTGCAGAACATCCAGTGACTCAACGTAATAGTATATGTATTTGGAACTCCCTGACAAGGAAGCTGCCAAGGCATTTTACATTCAGTATCGTCTTACATCCATCTGCATCTATTTAAAACCAGAACAGTTCCACTGAAATTGATGGATATAAACGTTTAATTTATAATATTCTGAGAGGTCAAGGCAGGTTCTCAAATTCTGGGAGCCTGAAAATTCTTTTAAAAAACAGAATGAATAACCTTCCAGAAAGCTTTGGAAAATAACCTCTTTGTATCAAAAATACATTATTTGTTGCTTGAGTAATGGGAATTAATATTTACTTTACAAAAATACCTTGGAGTTCCTACGATGACAGAATGTAAGGTAGGTTAGAAGAGAGTAATAGTCATCTACTAATTTAAAATATTCAAGACTCTCACATTAGCATCTGATTAAAACATCCACATTCATTTTGTCCCTTATCTATAATAATAAAAAGAAGAATGGTTTAAAACATGTTAATCAAAATATTTAATCATGCAAATGAGAATAATCCTGTTCTGCATGTAAGTCTATTTCAATCATGTTATATGACTGGTTAATATAAGAACCTGTTGGTCTTTGTTCCCTTCATAGTTGAAGACTCTTTCTGTAGAGCTCCCCTCAGCATGGGAAATAGTCATCTTATGGCTTTCTACTGTATTTTCCAGCATGTACATGTTGGAAATTATCATGCATTTCCAAGTAGTTTGGTAATGAACAATTATACTTGAAAACTTTGCCAGTTCTCAAGGGCTGATCTGACTATATTACTCAGTCAATTTTGAAACTGGTGGTTTTTAAAAAGTAAATAGGAAACAATGCAGAATAGAATTGAGAAACTCTGAGACTATTTTTGAATCTAAAAAAAAATCCCATGCACAACATGAAGGTCAAAGAATATCCTGTAATTCATGAGTATTCACCTACAGACAACCCCTGACCTACTTCCTGAGCTAGCCCTTTTGTTTGCATCCCTTCCCTAAAAAACTAGGCATAGTTACTTCAGAGAGTTGAACAGACTGAACAATTATTAACAGAAGAGAGAAATGACTGTGAATGTAACGGTAAACTTCACAGCATTTTATGATGAAAGCTGTATGCTCTGAAAGCCAAATGCTCCTTCAGGTTACAAACAGGAAAAGGATCTGGAGACAAATTTCCCTTTAGGTCTAGTGAATTTTACTGTGCTTCACAAGTAGGCTCTCTAGACAGTAAGACCATGTTTTCTCCATGTTGTCTTAGGTAGAGATGGTTAGTCTTCATCCAGCAAAGAAACAGTTCATGAAGTGTTAGAGCCATGGTACACAAACCTCACAACTGCTGATTTAACTCCTTCACTGTTTCTTTTAGAGCAGAAAGTCCTAAAACCACATTAATTTAAGCTAACAGACAAATTCAAACAACTGCAGCAATGCTAGGGTATGGATTTGAAATGTAGTATAAGAACATTAGTAGCCCATCATGCAGAAAATTTCTGAAAACACTGAATTTGGACAAATTTTGAAGCCATATTGCTTAAAGTAACACATTTACAGTTGTCATCAGCTGTTCCTTCTGAGTGACCTGCCAGCAAATACCAATAGCAGCTGCAACAGCAATAACAGAACGCCCTGGGATCAGCATGAGTACCTCGAAGTTCTGCTAAGCACTATTAAAATCAAAATTTCTTTATTCTTCAAAGTACATGTATATAGATATATATTACTGAAAGCAATTTTAGTGCACAAAAAGAAGCACAAACCCACAAACTCTGAAAACGTAAGCCCATGTAAGCAGCAGCACAGCCTTCAAATAATAGCCAAAGATATGCAAAAAGATTCAAACTGCAAAGTACTTCAAGTAACCTTTTAAAAATTAATGACCTGACTACATGAAAAAATTAAATATT